GTGACTGTCGATGGGTATCTTGGTTGATCAGTCGGAAGTCGCAGGAGGCAGCGCTGCGCGAGTATGGAATGGGACACAATAGATGGATGCAATGGACTTGACGGCGTGTTGGAGTTTCCAGAACGATGTCACACCAGATCAGGGTCTGTCAGGAGTGACTAGTAAGGAGTCGATGGTCGCGTCAGATGCTGCCAGTGTCAGATCGTGGCATGAGATGATGTTCAGTGTCGTCCGAGGTTCTGACAGATAGCAAGGTCCTTTCAGTTTTATTTGTTTCAGCCCAATCTGAAGGTGCGAAAAGCATTTCAGCCTGAAAGATGTAATTCATCCAAATTACTCGAGAACGCGACGGAAGAGTGTGAGTGAGCAAACTAACCGTAAATACTCCTCTCTCTCAGCTTGCCTTATTTCCTTTTTTCTTTTTTGCTTTCCCAATCATGTATGAATCATGGCACCTTCTGAAGTCGGTAAGCAGCTTTAGGACAGCGTAAGTTGAAAGGAGGGCCCAACTGAGTATGTATATAGTCACGATTTGAAGAAAGTTTGCAGCAGAAATGATGTTCTCACGGTCAGAAACTGACCTGGTAATAGAAACGCTATTCTCCAACTTCTTCCCATACAAATTATGATACCGCTACGAATTGGAAGCGAGCGCTGAACACCCCAGGACTGTTCAAGGTTCCGAAGATGAAGAGGTGGATTGACTGGACCCTGGTAATGTTTCTACTGGATGTGAACGCAATGTGAACGTTACTCGACTGGATTGGCCCTAGGTGGGAAGTTCATAAGTACTTGAAGTGGGTGAGAAGCTGTCAAGGCGTTCCGAGCAGAAGCTATGGGTAACAGCAATTGTGCCACAACAGTCGAGATGTAAGTACGCCACGTATCTAACGCTCCGCAGTCGCAGTTCGCGCAGATACTGCGAGTCTGTAAATATTTCCGCCTGTTTTCCGCTAAAAGCTAGAGTTGGCAGTGCTTGTGGAGATGTTCAGGTGTGCGAACCCAGAATAAGGCGGTCGTCCATCAACAGGCACAGTACATACGACCACGAAAATGCATGCCAGCATCGCAGTTCTAAAAGCCCTTGACCCTTTCATATCACTTAATCTTGTCTTGTCGACCAGCCAATCGGATCGAGGTGTCTTCGCTGTACCTTAATTCTTGCGGTGTGAACTAAAAGGTCTGTTGTGGCCAAGATGTGACTACGGTGGGCACAGCGACTAAAAACAGGCCGTGTACTTCCGAAGTTCAGTGCCCCAGAAAGTGGTATAGAAGCTGCCGGTGCTGTTCTTGATCTAAATCCAGGTATCATGGCCTACAGTAGAAGCAATTTTCTCCAGACCTGTGCGTCGTTGTCGCAAAAATTGGGAGTGCACATGATTGATGTTTTATGAAGGGCACAGAGTCGGAGGTCGGCGAAATTGGCACAGATGATCATGCATCGATCATGGTGGATGCTGGGCTGTGACTGCATGATGATTGACGTGAAGATTCCTGGCATACTACCACTGACCAGAACTTAAACATAAAATCACATCAACCTTGAAGACTTTCAATCTGTTGATTAGCTTGGTGGCCGATGCGCCACCTCAAACAAAACCTTGAAATCGACGTCCCCAGTGAGGAGGTAACGCCTCCTACTTGAAGTTTTAGCTTGCTTCCCCGGATTGTATCCGAGATATCAACCCAATTTGTAATGCTTACCTAACATGAACGTGTCTTGTAACTCACGGTCTTGTATCTGCTTCAGCTACGCACCCCTTCGCGTAGGTGAGGGGCTCGCGTACAAATTGCATGATTTTTTCAATCCCTTCGAGATCGTGAAATGATGGATAAGGTCACAAGAGTGATGAAGGGAGCGGGTGGAGTCAAGACTCAAGGTGGAGTCGTGGCTCTCCTGGCACAGCCGCATCAAAGTATTGTTTAGTATATTTTCAAGGTGGATTCAGACGCAACCAGCTCCAGTCAGACCGTTCGTTGCTCTCAACGCGGAGGAGGCCCCTCAGAGTGAACCTTCTTCAGAATCTCCTCCTCCATTCCTTGAAGTTGACAAGCTTGAGCGTTGAAGCTCTAGTTATTTTCAGCCTCCAACTTGAGCTTACAGTAGGCCCTGGCGAGGTGAAGACAACTTCGGATGGACACATCAGAGAGTTACTATCCTGAACCACCTACAGGTTCGTGTGTTTTAACTTTGGATACCAGCAAAAACAGATTATTGTACTTCAGGAGAATATAACGAACAAGCACAAAAACTCTGGTCGAACTATACCTCCGAAGCAGAGCGCCATGACGCTAATATTACGGACACATGGAAAGCCGACATGGATAGTACATTGATATTCGTGAGGTCCAGATCCAAATAAAAGCGCGACGAGCACGCGAACCAGTTTTCTAGGCCGGTCTTTTTTCTGCTACGGTCACCGCTTTCATTGTCGAAAGCTACAAACTTCTCAAGCCAGACTCGGGCGATGTCACAACAGCCCTCCTTGGTCAACTTCTAGCCGTTCAAGTGGCGACGGCGTCCACCAATCGCTCGACACTTCAACTACCGGACCTTTCGACGCGTCCTTTTTCGCCTTCGCATTCTGCAGTCGCGGTCAACATATTGTGGTTCCTCAGCCTCGCGTGTAGCCTCGCTGCCGCTCTTTGCGCAACGCTCATACAACAATGGGTACGGGACTACCTTCAGCGCATCCAACGGCACACTCAACCTCTTCGACGCGCCAGGGTTCGGGCATTTTTGTTCGCGGGAAGCGAGAAATGGAGGATGGACCAAGTCGTCGAATCCATACCTCCTCTCCTCCACATGTCATTGTTCCTCTTCTTCGCGGGCCTGTTCGTTTTCCTCTCCTCCCTCAACAAAGCAGTGACAGGCGCCGTCGCCGCCATCGTCGCGTGTTTCATGTGCTTTTACGGTTTCGCGACCTTTGCACCCCTCCTCGATCCCTCCGCACCGTTCGAAACGCCACTTTCATCTATCCTCTGGCGCCTCATACTCGTTTTACGTGGGAAGTTGCCCCATGGGTTCAAGGATATCGGGATATACACCACGGCCATGGCGGATCTGCCGAACGTGCGCGTGCGATTTGCTATGCACACGCCGGGAGATATAGAGGGTGCTGCGCGCCAGGACGCGAAGGCGCTGCAGTGGGCGTACGAGAGGATCACGGATGATCGCGAGCTCGAGCCGTTCGTGGACGGTATTCCGGGGTTCTTGAGCTCGGCGGATGGGTACAAGACTTGGAGAGTTGCATCGAGGCTACGAGGGTCCACCGTCTGGGCGGTAGGAAATCGGTTGACTGTGCTTTTGGACGGGTGCTTGACCTCGACGCCCAATTTTAAACGTGCTTCAATTTGCCTCGACGCCCTCTTCGCATTGTGCCTGTACTACCCTCGGTATGGGGTTTCTCTTCGTGATTTCTCTCGCCAGATCACGACGATGGTGGTTTGGAACAACACGTTTGCATCGAAGGCCATCTGTATCAGCGTCATGTCTAGCCATCCTTTTCTTCTCTCACATTCTCGATATCTCGACATTCCACAAAACATCCACGAGCTATCTCAACAGGCCGACAAAGCCGTCAGAGAAGTAGACGATTTAAGACGGAGGCTAGAAGAAACGCTACAGTCACCCAGTGGATTCGACGACAAGTTTGTTCTCGTCCAACTCCTCCGAGGATACATGGACGCGCTGCAGTTGGCAGGAGCCCAGCTCTCCGCATGGGCAGACGTCGTCAATTCCCATTCAATTATCCTTGACATGGTCCCTGCCCTGTCTTGGTATGTATCTTTACCTCGCGATCGCTACTCCATCACCCTCCGCAACGTCCCTTCATTCGAAGCTTACCAAAGTCTTCAGATTTATGCCCACCAAATACTGGCCTACATGCGGGTGACAATTTCTCCGCCGCTTCTCGATATCACCACCCTTCCAACTCTTCCCGAGCGATCGAGTACCTGGTTCCCATTATTTGACCCCGCTGTCTTCAGTCGCGAAGAATACAAAAGTCTCTGCCGGGAGCTCAAGCCCTTGTCGTCCGCTCTCAATGCCCTGGGTTTCAAACCGACTGCGGACCAGACAATGGACAACATCACGCAGACTCGAGGGCCAGCAGTACGGCCTCTTCACTCACAGCCAGGATCATCCCCACCGCCGCTTCCACTATCGTTCGCTGGCTGTGGTCCGTTCGGTTCTCTGGCGCTTATCCTGCAAGACTGTAAAGACGGGTGTCGAGTGACATCACTCCTTGACTTTGTGGCCACGCTCAAGCGCTACGCGCCCAAAGCAGTCGAGCCGTTCGTCATCACACAAACTCTTGATATCGTCTATCCCCGTCAGACTACGACACTGCCAGAAGCGTCACAGTTACTCTTCGTCCGAGCTCTGGACGAAATTTTGACTTGGGAGCGAGAAGCCAAGCCCGACAAGCCTTGTCCTTTCTCCGATATCGACATCACGCGGCTTGTAGCCTCCCTTGAACACAACCTCACGCACGAACTTTCTGTTCGTTTTGCGGAGGATACATTTGGGTCAGGAATCGTACAGGGTCTTCAATCACCTGGCAGTGAACTGGCTATTGGCATGCCCCATATGGAACCGTCGTTGACGCAGGACGCCGACAAGGATATCTATAATCGATCTCAAGAGGTTTACAAGTACATTGTATCTCAACGAAAGGCGCTACGAAACAGAATGGAAAAGTGATTGCCATTGAAATTGATTCAATGAGTAAATAAGGCCGTGTTCGAGGTGAAGTGGGCAAACCCAAGTGTGCAGAGTCAAGCAAGATTCGAAGCTTTAGGTCCCAACATGGTTTATTCAACCCGTCGCCGGGGTGGAAATGTAGAGGATTGGTCAATAATTAAGTGTGCTCATGCTTACGATGGAGATGGAGATCCCAATTGCCAGAGGCCTGTACTCGCAGTTTATACCATCAATCACAACGCCACACCTTGCACACATCCTCGATGGGATGCATCTTGGATCAGTTCATAGTACAGGCGCTATAGCCAAGTGGTTACGGCGACAGATTAGAATCCATTTGTCATGCTGGTTTCTGTCATCTGTTCCTCTTTGAGGGCGCAGGTTCAAATCCTGCTGGCGTCGCTCAGTCTGTAGTGACTTTTTGGCTTGCCGTGGGACTCGGTTGGACCACCACATACACCTCACTCACCATGCCTTTGTTTTTGCACCACTCACAAACACCCTGATTGTCAATCCAATATCCTATACTTGAGACCTGTATAGTGTATTCCATTCAATCACAGCGCCACACCCCGTACGCAACTTCGATGGATGTATCGCTATAGCCAAATGGTTATGGCGACAGATTAGGATGTAGCAATTTTCACTCATCTGTTCCCCTTTGAGGGCGCAGATTCAAATCCGGCTGGTGTCGCTGACGAAGAATATAGGTAACATCTTTTTATCTCCCAGCCAGGTTTTTGGGAGATGACCCTTATCATATTAAACTTCGGAGCCCCGCGTGCCTCCATAATCCTGGCGAGGCTCACCATGAGGCGCTGTAGCCAAGTGTTTACGGCGACGGATTCGAGTCTCCGAACTATCCGGTGTTCCTCTTTGAGGGCGCAGCTTCAAATGTTGCTGGCGAGTCCTAAGACGGCAATTTTTGGGGGGCTCTGACCGAAGTTTTGTAACCCTTAGTGTTAAGACCAAACTTAAATCACAATTAACACATTCTACACTATAGATGACATAGATAGACAACACCCGAATCATAAAGGCTCCCCTCAGCTCAAAACTGGGCACAGAGAAATTAGTTTGAGGTAAATCAGCGCGCAAGAGAAGCCACATACCCGTATTTGATACGATCCACTCGCTTTCGTGAGGTAGCGAACCCACTTGACGCTCTGGTAGCTGCTCTTCTCGAAAACCTTGAGGAAGCGAACAATGAGACCCGACGATGTGAACATGAGGACCTGGAAGTCGACGTCGATGGGCGGCCGAGCCCAGACCTGACGTGTTGTTGTGCTCGTCAGGGTTCCGGTCCCGGTAAACGAGCATTCCGAGTTGCCTTGGAGTCGTGGTATCCTTAAGAACCGACAGTGTCAGAACCTCGACAGACGAGTACGAAGGGTGCTATGCTTACTTCCAAACGATGACATTCTCAGCCGGCACGTATTTCGCTTTTCCATTGGCGACCTTGCAGTCTACAGTGGTGGTGTTGAGCGGCGTGGGTATCCGTAGGACGACGTTAGTCGCGGATAGTTTGTTATTGAAGTTCGCCTTGACGGTGATGGCGTAGGAGACCTGTGATGTGCCGATTTCGGTCACGGTGGGTATAATGCGAAGTGGGAGCTTGACGTTCGATGTTGATCGGTATCTGATGGATGTTGACGCGTCAGTTGGGCAATTCATCGGCGGATTGGCGGTGCTCACCGCATGAGCTCAAATTCTCCGTCTGGGGGTATAAAACTGATTGTACGGGTCGCGTCGAAGTCGTTCAACCGCACGCATTGGTGGAATCTGCAGTCATCTAGCTCGACGGCGTCGCTGATCCCGCGCTCGCTCTTGTCGATTACGAGTTTATCGTTGAGTCCAAATTTGCATTCTGGGGTGCCTGAAAGATAGGCTCTCATTTGTATGTGACCATCCACGTCTGCCCGCAGGACAGTTCCTTCAGACAGGTGATATGTGAAGAGGCATGATGTCGGTAGCTGAAAGAGGCGCACCTTTTGCGCTCATGCTTAGATTCACCGTCTCCACAACATCCACGAACGCCTCATTCTTCTTGTACTTAACGTCGCCACGTCGCCAACTCGTTGCACCTGTGGCTTGACTAGTGATCTTCGAGGACTCCTCCTATAGGCGCGATGTGATGAGTTAGAGGAACTTCGTGGTCCTGCGGCACGTACAATAGCAATGGCAGACGATACGACGCTTTCTGTGGTTATGTATGACTTGAGAGTGTCGATTTCGCTATTCTGGGGGTAACCAAAGTCGTTGATTTCTGTGTGTGACAAATCAGTACTCGACGTAGGAGATGAATCCACACGCAGTTCACCGTCAATTAGCTCGTAAATCAATACAAAATTGTTCTTGACAGACTCCTCGTCAATCTTGCCGAAGTATGCCTTGGCTATGTTGATAAATCGGTAACAAAATTCGAAAACGAGTGCTGCGTTAGCGTTGTTCCTGGTCCTACGTCAGTGGCTCTCTGGTTTCATAAGACACAACGGCGCACTTCGTAACGGCGACCACGTAGAGATTGTTTATTCGGACGTGGAAGAAACTGGTTGATCCCAGCGTGATGATGGGCGACCTCACATCGCTGTTGGAAACGACTTGAATCCGGAAAACGTCCGCAATCGATCGTCTGCAAATTACGAGCTAATGAGCGCCTGACCATGAGAAGACATGGCCTGTATCACACTTGAAGTCGGTCCGGTATAGTCTTGAGATCAGGACCTATTTTGTCTGTCAGTGAGTATCCCATCCGCATCGGAATTCGCGTCGAGCTCACCTCTCCCTTCTGGTTGAAAATGAAGAATGCCTAGAGAACTGTTAGTACTATCTTGACAGGAACCATGCAGACATACCGATATCATGATGTTAGGTAGGGACAAGTCTCAGCGGGAGCATTGGCTGGGGTAAGAGTGTGAGTGATAGGAGGAAACCCGACGTGATGTGTGTTCCGTATTGGGATGTCGTGTTGACCTCCTGATCATCGACCACCACATTCCGTAACTTTACTCTCACCACACGTCGCGTAGACCTTTTGATTACAGCGAAACATGGTCTCTACGGAATCTTGGCCACCCTTTCTCTCGGTCCATTGTCGGCACCAGAGAGCTATTTAAACGGGGTTTGTGCCTCTGGGAGGTTCACTCGCAAGTCTCGACATGCCTGCTTCTATCTTTCGTCTGCTGCCTGCTCTTATCTGTGCGTTAAGCGTGTACCCAGCGTTGGGGAAGCTTACCTGGGGGTCTACCAAGTTTTTGTTCACTTTTGGAGACTCATACACTACCGATGGTGAGCATAATCGAGCTACACATCGACCGTCTGGTCAACTAAAAATGTACCAATAGGTTTCAACATCTCTGCCGGAGTCGACTCTCCTGTTCCTGGTTTTGTAGGTATTGAAGCAATTGTCGTTTATCCTCATTCTAATATTAAGTTCGACAGACTTCGTCCAACGGGCCGAACTGGGTTAACTTCCTTGGTGAATCAGAACTCTGACACGATATCGGGAATGGAACTGAATGAAACCAAATCACAGGTAGGACATACAATCAGATAGAGACCCAGGTCCGCGTAACCCATGCGTCCATTCCTGGCTTCGATTCTGAAGCTCATTACAACATTTTCAGGTTTTCGACCTTGCATCAGGCGGTGCAACAATTGACGGAGCCTTAGTGCCTCCCTTTTTGCCTACGGTTCTGTACGCATCGCATTCTACGTACCAAACGTGTGTTCAACTTCACACAGCTCCGTCGTCGACCAGGTCTCTCAGTTCAAACAGATCCTTGCGCCCAACCCCGCAGGTGCACAATGGGACAGTTCAAACTCCCTCTTTGCGTTCTGGATTGGAATCAACGATGTTGTGAGTACCGAATGCCTTTTCAGGAAGTTTAGATATACTCACCTGAGCTGCAGGGTAATTCTTTCGGCTGGGTATGTGACAAAACTCTGCTAGAGACAACCCAGAGAAGGTCTCATCTTTACACTAGACGAATATCACTGGACACGAGCCCGCCTTCTATTCGAAGCTCATGGCACGTCTCGACAGTCAGGCACGTTGACATCTCATGTACTGGGGTACTTAATACTGATTTATGACCAAAGCTTGAAATCCTCTACGCCGAAGGCGCCCGCTCCTTCCTCTTCCTGACAGTTCCTCCCACCGATCGTGCACCCCTGTTCTTCCAGCAAGGCCCCGAAGTTGTCAAGCGCCTCCATCCTCTTATTGCAAACTACAACGCTCAGCTGTCTACGACCGTTGCTCGGTTCCGTGCCAAACATAGGGACATCGACCAAGTGACGGTATTTGACACACAACCAATCTTCAACACCCTCCTCGACAACGCCAAGGCCCTGGGCTTTGTGAACGCCACCGGATGGTGCGAGGCTTATCAAAATGGTACTCCAGAAAAGACGACGCAAATCAGCCCTTGTGCTCCCGTGTCAAGTTATTTGTGAGCTTCCACTGATTGGCCTGCCTGCTATATTCATAAGATTTCTAACACGTGCTACAGCTGGTTGAACTCTTTACATCCTTTGTTCACCGTTCACGAGTAAGTCCTTTATACCTCCGACGTGCCTCGAGGTTGACTGAATTATCGTGACAGCATCGTTGCTCGTGGTATCTCGACCGCACTCAGCGCCTGATGGGCGGGCCCACACTCAAAATTTCATCCTTTGAAGCCTGTATTACACAGAGTTTGACCCGAGAATTCGAATCAAATCAAAGTGACAGACAACTATCCCTTGCAATGCGAATAGATTTAGTGTCGTGTGATGGTGCTTGAACATACACCTTGATACTGCAAGAGGTTTCGATGCGGCGTGACAGCGCAATCCCACGTAAAATGGTACGGGGAGATCCTAAAGATAAAAGTTGTATCATTTGACATTGCCTCGGAACAAAGTCACAGTAGTGGCTGATGCTAGAACGTAGTGGAGTGTGTAGGCACATAATCGGTAACCTAGTAAGCCACTTACTCCAGGTTGTGATTGTACATGGGTCAATCAATACGTATCTCCCGACCTCAACAATGCTTCAAATGCCTCGACCGACAGGTCGCGGTCAATACCCTCTCGTGTCATCTCTCGGAAATGTGCTGGGGTGAGCGTGGTCCTGTGTTTGTCCGTCGGCCGAGTATCCTTCCTTACCTCAGCCCTCAATTGCTGAATGACGCGCCTGACAGACGGCCGATCCCTAGGGTTCGTTAACCAGCAGTGCGTCATGAGTGACCAGATATTCTCTGTGAGGCCCCAAACCTCCCAACTTGAGCTCCCGCTGGCTGGCCGCGTAGGCCGCTCACCAACCATCACCTTGAAGGACACCGTAGTGTCGCGAGTATACTGGTGGAACGGAGGTTTCCCAACGAAGATCTACGCATGGTCATTACTAGCCGAGAAGAAACGATTTAGAATGTAAGATGTCACCTCGTACAGCACGCAAGAATAGGCATACACATCGCTCTCAATGGTGTTATGTGGATCTTCGATCGATTCCGGGTCAAAAAGTTCAGGCGCTTGCCATCTAGCGGAGCCGCCTCTTGAAGCCGCCGAAGAATGTGAAGTGAACGCAGCAATATTGGGATCTGAAATAGAGGAAAGACCAAAGTCGGAAACACAGGCTCTGCCCGAATCGTCTACAAGAATGTTGGCCTTTCGTCATGCACGTTAATCCAGAAGTGCTGTTGAATGGAATTT